CATAAACTAATTTATAAATGTGAATGAATTTAGCCATTTAATAATTTCTCATTCAGATTGAGTCTCTGAAATGTCTACCTGTAGAGGACAAGCAAGTATTACCAGGTACCAGTCATGACTCTTTAGTGACTTTTTGGTCCTCTGCTATTTTTTTAAGGCAAAAGAAATATTCTTCAAACATTTATAATACCAAATTCCCAATTACGGTTGGTTTTAAAGATCATGGCGGCATGATAAAAGGGACCAAGGCTCTGCATACGCAAGTCTGGATTTGAAGGGGAGAGTTCAGTCATTTAGTCATTTTCTTCACATAACACTTTTAAACAGCCAGTTTGACTGGAATTTATGAGCTTGGCACAGTCTGAAAAGAAGTAATGTGAAATTAAATTAATTTTCTTTGAAAGTCTTTTGAAATAAGAAACCGTATCAGTAGGCCCCTAAGATAACCAAGCAATTTGCTTCCAGAGGCCTCATTCCTCTGCTGTTAATCGTTGAGTGCTTTGATTTTTACTACCTGATTTACTTTCTCTACCTTTTCCACATTTAAAAAAAATACATAGCAGCTTAGTTCACCCTAAAAACCTGAAAACCCCAGAAAAGAAAGAAAAGGATGGTATGAGGAAATTTGCCATAACTGCCAGTTCTGATTCTAATTTAACCTTTTCCATCAGTTAAAATTGTGTTGATCTGTTGCTTGTTTTGTTGTTTTGTTCTTATTTGGCTTTTTTAATGTTCATTTAATAATACAGGCAATAGCAAAAATTTTACTCGCAGGAATATAATTTATCAAATTGAACTGTTTTATTTGCCAAAGAAATATGTTTTTAATATCACGGGTAATGGTTACGTGTCAAAACTAGGCTTTGTTTATTATACAAAAAAAAAGATGACAGCACTCTACCGAGGGCAACAAAAGTGAGACGCTGTCTCAAAATGATGTGGCTTTTGTTTCTGAAGTCTGATTTCATTCATTTATCAGAAAGGTACGTTCATGCCACATTTTAAAAAACAGTTTATTTGTAAGTGAAAGCACCTTTAATTTGTCCTAACGGTACATCCTATAGAGACAGAATTCTGTGTAGCCTTTTTAGTTGTCCTCACAGTATGTGAAAAATACAAAACTCATTCTAGAGTTAAATTACCAATCTTGATTTATATTATCTGCTTTCATTTTTATTAACTTGGAAATAAATGTTGCTAGTAAATATTGGTTTTTACAGTGTCCACTTTGAAAATGTAAGTTATCAAAATTTAATGTAGTGAATTTGTGTAACCATGTTGTATTGTTGAGAATGTATTTTTATTTAAATTTTATTTTCTTATCAAGAGTATATTATAAAAACTAAAAACTTTTGTAACTGTTGCTTGGAAATAACTCAAATAAATTACAAGAAGTCTGTCTGTTCTTTGTGAGACTTTACTTTCTTACTGATTTAGATATTTCTTTTTTGTTTAAAATTATCATACCTTGCCTCTTAGTAAGAAAGCGAGAAGAAGAAGAATGAAGCCATGTTTAAGTGCTCAGTGTTCTTTTCTTGCACTCTTCCCGGCCAATTTTGGATGGGCTGTGTTTTGTTCGTTCATTGAACAGACTTGTGTTGAGGACCTATGGTGTTCAGGCCCCTTGCAGGCACCTATCACTCCCTCGAGTTGTGCACGTCTGATGTGAAGGAATATATTCCACTCCTGTCTGGGTAAATAGTTACAGCTGAGTTTGACTTTATGAAGAATTCCACTTTCTACCCTCAGAAAAAAAAGTCAACATCAGAGCCTGTGATTATTCAGGTCTTGCGTTGACCCTCACAGGTTAACCTCCCCTGTAGATTGACCTTCAGTGCATCATCCTTTTGGATGTTAGAAGTTAACCGTGTTGTGCCATTTTGATGATTTATGTAGAGTAACAGTGCCCAACCTTTTTGACACCAGAAACCAGTTTCATGGAATACAATCTTTCCACCCAGTGCCAAGCTGGACCGGGTGGAGAAAATGATGTAGGCAGAGCTGAGACGGTGATGATGACAGGAGGCATGGGGAGCTGCTGGGGGCTGTGAATACAGATGAAGCTGCTTTGCTCATCACAGGCTGCTCACCTTCTGTGTGGCCTGATTCCTGAGTTCATGGAAGATAATTTTTCCACAGGCAAAAGGTGGGAGGAGGCGGAGCTCTGCAGCCTGGCTCCTAACAGGCTGCATCAGCCTAGAACTTGTCCTCAGCCAGGGGTTAGGAACACAGATGTAGAGAATATGAAGTGACAGCACCAAAGCCCAGGTTAGTGGGTAACTTGTGCTCCCAACAAGAGAAGCCAAGATCCTTCCCCATTAGTGCCTCAGCAGCACTGTTAGCATTCCTAAACAAACCTTCCAGTGAAACAAAACCCCTGTGACTCCACAGGAATTTAAAGTTAACAAGGGGGAAAGGATAGTGTTCTGAATCTCTAAGGATCTTTTTTTTATTGAAACATCAAGAGTCCTGGCTCAACCAGGATATATCAGATCCATAGCTCAGAGAGTAGGGTGCCAGCCACATACACCAAAGCTGGTGGGTTCAAACCCCGCCTGGGCCTGCCAAACAACGACAACTGCAACCAAAAAAA